AAAGTACTTCTTGCCCTACCTGCTCGATCCCATGCATAATCTTATAAACCTCACTCATGTCACCCCTCATCGCCCTTCACTCAGATTCTCAGAGCAGCTGACAAACTCCCTTCCCTTCCCCTCCCTACAACAGACACCCGGTGAGGCAGGTGGGGCTGAGAGAGCTCTGACAGAAACTGCCCTTGAGAGAACTGCTCTGAGAGAACTTGTGACTGACCCAAGGTCACTCCAGCAGCTGCAAGTGGAGGAGTGGGGGAATCAAACCCGGTTCTCCCAGATTAGAGTCCGCGCACTTGACCACGCCACCCAACTGGCAAGCTTAGCTATTGGGCTCTTACTCTTTTCTGTTGCTACAGACAGACTAAGGTGGCTACCAATGTTCCCTCTAAGCTGTGGAGTCTTGTGAGCAAAAATCCTACTTTGTGAGCTACTGGCATTAAAGTTGTGAGCAAGTGATTTGGCCACTACATAAATTAGTTTGCTCTGGAGCCATTCTTCCTGAGTTAAGGCAAAAACGTGTGAGCTGCAGGCTAAAGAACTGTGAGCTAGCTCACACTAACTCAGCTTAGAGGGAACATTGGCTGGCTACCCTTCTTGACTGGTGACGGAGTCACAGAAGTCGAGTGGGCTCGCTTCCTAATTCTGGTTTACCTTTTTTTTCTTTTCTCTTTTTGGCCAGCTGAGCAAAAAGACAAACAGAAACAATTTCGACAGCTGGGCCAGTTTGCTCAGAAATTCCCAGGTTGCTCAAACTCCTCCCCGTGCCCTGATTAAACAGAGTGAGCGGTTGCCCAAGGGCTGGGCTCTGAAGGGGGCTCCGGGGATAAATACCCAGCTCTGCCGCCTGCTCTCCCTGACCCTCCGGACCGCCATGGGGGGACCTGCCGCTCTCTACCTGGTGGCCGCCCTCCTGGCCTGCTTCCCCGCTGCCTCCTACAGCCAGCTGTAAGTACAAGACGGGGCTCCAGCAGCGCTCTCCTTCTCTCCAAAGTGGGGCAGACGTTCTCAGCTGAGGGAAAGGGGCTCAGATTTCTCTGTCCCTTGCCTGGAATCAGGCACCGAGGAGGAAGCCCCTTGAATCCCAGGCTCTGTTATTTGTAGGGGCGGTTTGGGGGAGGCTTCGAGTGTAATGCATTTCTCCAGTCCGATATGAAATGATTTGTCATTTTTGGATCCCCATGGTTAGGAAAATAGTGTGTGTGTGGGGGGGGGGGGGGGAGGAGGAGGAGGAGGAGGAGGAGGAGGAGATTGGATTTAGACCCCATCCTTCACTACCCGAAGGAGTCTCAGAGCGGCTTACAGACTCCTTTCCCTTCCCCTCCCCACAACAGACACCCTGTGAGGAAGAAGAGGAGGAAGAGATTGGATTTATACCCTGCCCTTCACTACCCAAAGGAGCCTCAGAGCGGCTCACAATCTCCCTTCCCTTCCCCCTCCCCACAACAGACACCCTGGGAGGTAAAAGAAGAAGAAGAGATTGGATTTACACCCCATGGCCCTTCACTACCCAAAGGAGTCTCAGATCGGCTGACAAACTCCTTTCCCTTCCCCTCCCCACAACAGACACCCTGTGAGCAATGTTCCCTCTAACCTGTGGAATCTTGTGAGCAAAAATCCTACTTTGAGAGCTCCTGGCAATAAAGTTGTGAGCGAGTGATTTGGCTGCTGCATAAATTAGTCTGCTCCGGAGCCGTCCTTCCTGAGCTCAGACAAAAATCTGTGAGGTGGAGGCTAAAAAACTGTGAGCTCGCTCACACTAACTCAGCTTAGAGGGAACACTGCCTGTGAGGTAGGCGGAACCGAGAGAGCTCTTTCAAGGACTGCCCTTGAGAGAACAGCTGTGCCAGAACTATGGCTTGCTCAAGGTTATCCAGCAGGTGCAAGTGGAGGAGTGGGGAATCAAACCCGGTTCTCCCCGATCAGAGTCCGCGCGCTTAACCGCAACACCACTCCCGTAGCTAGGGGATGCCAGCCTCCAGGTGGGACCTGGGGATCCCCCGTAATTACTGCTCATCTCCAGACCAATGCTCCCTCTAAGCTATGGAGTCTTGTGAGCAAGAATTCTGCTTTGTGAGCTCCTGGCATCAAAGCTGTGAGCCAGCGATTTGCCTACTCCATAAATTAGTTTGCTCTGGAGCCATGCTCCCTCTACGCTGTGGAGTCTCGTGAGCAAGAATTCTGCTTTGTGAGCGACTAGCACTAAAGTTGTGAGCGAGCGATTTGGCTGCTGCATGAATTAGTTGGCTCTGGAGCCCCCTCCTTCCTTGACCTAAGACAAAAACGTGTGAGCCGGAGGCTAAAAAACCGAGCGAGCTCACACTAACAGGGCAGGCCGGCAGTGGAAAGGGTGTCAGTCTTCTTTTCTCTGACGGGGCTCAAAGAAGCCCAGAGATGGGGGCGGCTTTGCTCGGAGCAACAACGCAAAAGAGTCCGGCCTCTCCATCGACAGTGTTCCAGCCCCTCAGACGCCCACCCTCCTCATGGCAAGCAGGGTTGCCAGCCTCCAGGTGGGGACTGGAGATCTCCTGGAATCACAACTGATCCCCAGACTGGAGAAACCAATCCCCCTGGAGAAAATGGCTGCTTTGGAGGGTGGACTCTGTGGCGTTATGCCCCGCTGAGGTCTCTCCCCTCCGCAACCCTCGTCCTCACCCAAATCTCCAGGAATTTCCTAACCCAGAGCTGGCAACCCTATTCGGATGCAGTTGCTTTTAAAGGTGAAGCTTTGCCCCCACCCGCACAGGAGGTTTACCTGGGGGAGGGCAGGGTTTGGGGAGCGGAGGGACCAGCAGGATCCAATGCCACAGAGTCCACCCTCCAAAGCAGCCGTCCTCTCCAGGGCAACTGATCTCTCTACTCTAGACAGCAGCAGTAATTCCAGGAGATAAATTCTCCCTCTAAGCTGTGGAGTCTTGTGAGCAAAATTTCTACTTTGGTGAGCTGCTGGCATTGCAGTTGTGAGCAGTGTTCCCTCTAAGTTGAGTTAGTGTGCGTTAGCCTCCGGCTCACACATTTTCGTCTTGGCTCAGAAAGGAGGGCTCCAGAGCCAACTAATTTATCCAGTAGCCAAATCGCTTGCTCACAACTTGAATGCCAGTCGCTCGCAACGTGGAATTTTTGCTCACAGGACTCCACGGCTTAGAGGGAACGTTGGCTGTGGGCCGCGAGAGATTTGGCTGCTGCAGAAATCAGTCTGCTCTGGAGCCCCGTCCTTCCTGAGCGAAGACAAAAATGTGTCTTAGCTGGAAGCTAAAAAACTGTGAGCTAGCTCACACTCACTCAGCTTAGAGGGAACACTGTACCCCACCTCGACTTGGAGGCTGGAAAACCTAACAGGAAGACAGACTTGTTGAAAGACCCCCATCCCAACTTATGGGAATCAGACCAAGGTTCCTTTATCATGAAGCCTTGCCTCATTATCAGTGAAAATAAAGCCATTAAGATCAACGTCTGGCCCAGGGGTCATTTCGTAGAAAAAGAGGTGCAGGAGCTCATTAGCATAACTCATTAGCATAACTTATTTGCATGTGCCACACACCCCTGACATCACCGGAAGTGTGTCAGAAGGCAACACCCACTGCTCAGGCGCCACTGGACTGTTTTGGATTGCTAGCTATTGGGGGGGGGAGGAATGTGCAGATCCGTCCTCGCAGAAGAGGGAGAGCTTGTACCTGAATAAAACTTAGTCTTAAAGGTGCCACTGGACTGTGTTGGATTGCTAGCTATTGGGGGGGGGG